GACATCAAGACACAGGAGGCTTATTCTGCGTAGATCGGGCCAAAAGTAATAATTTAAAAACTGAATGTACTTCGAGTCAACTTTAACATCGGGACGTCACTCACTTTAGTCTCCCCGCGACCATGGGTGCTGCAAAGCACCCAATTAAAAATAAGTAAAATTTACGGGGTAGAACCATGCTGTAGCTATATTTATAATATAGATGTAGCACGAATGGGTCGGCTCGACCGGGGAAGGACCACGCTCTCACAGAATACCAGCTTAAAATAGCAGCATTAAGCTGCTATGTTTCGTATGGTGAGTGTAGAGAACCGGAGTCTTCACGGCTGGTAATGCATCTGCAAACGGAGATAGATGTAGACGTCTATAGGCCACAGCAGCCACTTACCATCAGATGGACTGTGTGCTCGCTTGTCACCCTTATTTTTATTAAAAAAAAATTAAACGCCATAAATTCAGTAAAAATATTTTTATTCAATACACTAAACATGTCGACTGCCGACGCAGACCGACTCATCGACCACGTCCGAATGGCTACAGATTTCTTGCTACAACAGGTCCCATCCGTAGAGATCGTAATACTTGGCGATTTTAACGATCACCACGCCGAATCGTGGAAAGCGTGGTTCAGTTCACGTTTAACAGATCATGCGGGGAGATTTGTTTATGACTTTGCCTTGGCGTATGATCTGACACAACTGGTTACTTCGCCTACGCGGATTCCAGATGTGGAGGATTATACACCTTCCCTGTTGGACTTTCTGCTGACCTCTCATCCGGACGAATATCAGGTTTCCATCGGTGCCCCTCTCGACTCTTCGGACCATTGTCTGATCCGGAGTGTGGTGCCACTCACGCTCCCCTCGCGGTTGCGTTCTGCAGGTTGCCGCCATGTTTGGCACTACAAGTCGGCGGATTGGGACGGGATGCGGTCTTTCTTTGCATCCTACTCATGGGGGAGGGTTAGCTTTTTGCAGGATGATCTATGCGCTTTTGCTAACGCTGTCACTGATGTGGTGCTACAGGGAATGGAACTATTTATTCCATAATCTGTGGTAACCATCGGAGGTAGATCTCAGCCTTGGTTTGGTTACTCCTATAAAACGGCATTACGCAATAAGCAGGAATGTTATCAGGCCTGAGCTGAGGCTTCGACGGCTCGGGATGTAAACACCAGCATGCTTAAAAAGAAGTATAACTTCGCCTCCAGCTCCTTCAAAAGAGTTATTGCCAAGGCAAAGTATAAACACATTGGCGTAATTGACGAGAAATTAGTTCGCCTTCCTTTGGAAACCCCTGCATTCTGGTCTCTCGTCAAGGCTGTTCAAGGGAATTTCTGTAAGCCATCAATGCCTGATGTGCGATTAACACAATGCTCAGTACGCAAAGCACTCCTCTTCCTGGACATCCACAAGTCGAGTGGGCCTGACGGAATCCAGCCAATTGTGCTGAGAACGTGCGCTCCAGAGTTGGCACCGGTTCTAACGCGTCTTTTCCGGTACTCCTACTCCCTAGGCGAATTTCTTTTCTTTTGTCCCGAATTCATGGAAGACAGCTTTCGTGCACCCGATCCCTAAAAACGGTAACCGCTCTGATCCAACTACAGGCCTATCGCCATCACCTCCTTGATCTCGAAAATAATGGAATCCATTATTAACTGTGAGCTCATGCGGTACCTTGAGGGGCACCAGCTGATTAAACGCCAATACGGTTTTCGTCGGGGTACGCTCAACTGGTTATCTTCTTGTTTACGTAACACATAGATGGGCGCAGGCGATCGAGTCCAAGGGGGAGGCATTGGCCGTTAGTTTGGACATAGCGAGGGCCATCGATCGGGTCTGGCACAAAGCGCATCTTTCGAAGTCTCCTTCCTATGGGCTTCTCGAGAAATTGTGCAATTGGATCACCAGTTTTCTGGCTGATCGGAGCATCAAAGTCGTAGTTGACTGTGCATACTCCGATTACAAGCCTATTAACGCAGGTGTTCCACTAGGCTGCGTGCTATCACCAACGCTGTTTCTTCTGCATATCAATGATATGTTGCAAACCAGTAACATTGAAGCACTGATGAAGCTCTATCTATACACCGGACGTGCCAATATTTTTCAGGAAAACTTCGCCAAGTACCGGAACAAACTTGTGTCTGAAGTCAAGTCTTAGCTGAACAAAGTTTCGGATTGGGGGCGACTAAATATAGTTCAGTTTAATCCTCAGAAGACATAAGTTTGCGCGTTTACCGCTAAAAAGAACCCCTTTGTCGTATCTCCTCAGTTTCAAGGCACTCCCCTTGTTGCCTCAGCCAGTATTGGAATCCTCGGCGTCGACATATCGAATGACGTGCAGTTACGTGGTCATTTGGTCACAGTGCTCGCCTACAATCCACCTGATGATTACTGGTGATGAATTGCAAAATTGCACTGTTTTAGCGCAACAAAAGCCCATTCACTTTTGCATCGAAGACATCCATATTGTGATCGGATGAAAAAGGCGATGGAAAATTTTACACACCTTTTTTGAACGCGATGCCGACTGCAAATCGATTTTAATTTAGTATAGAATAATTTTATAAAGTAGCCTACGCGTTTAAGGACAATTCTATATACTGTTTCTAGAACATTCCATTTATTCAGCAAGCAAATTTACAATTGAGAAGAGGATTATGGTAAAGCTTCCTGACTTAGCTACAAAAGCCTATTTGAATCTTGCCTTAAAACATATAAATCGGATGGAATGGCAGATGGAGATCGGATCACAGCATTGCCAGCACTACTACCATGTTACTAACATTACGTATCGGTTAAACAAGTTGCGAAACCTATGCCCTTAACTGTATCTAACGACTATCCGGTTCATTACGATTGTCAACTATTCCGACTGAATAAGGGACTTGCAAATATAGATAGCTAAAAAGATAGCAGATTAGCAAAGAGATATAGCAGGAGAAGTGACTAATTCGCTATTTGTATAAACGTAAACATAGTTTTGTCATAATTATAATTCCTCGAGTAACATTTTATTACGTGGTAGAGCCATGCTGCAGCTATATTATAGTTGTAGCACGAATGGGTCGGCTCGACCAGGGAAGGACCATGCTCTCACAGAAAACCAGCGTAAAACAGCAACTTAACGCTGCTGTGTTTCGTATGGTGAGTGTAGAGAACCGGAGACCCTTTTTACTGGCAAAGAGGCATTCTATCTTAGTCCTCACGGGTGACAACGCATCTGCATCTTGAGTCTTTATTGAGGATAGATGTAGATGTCTATGGGTCACAGTAACCACTTACCATCAGGTGGACTGTGTGCTCGTTTGTCACCCGATCCTATAAAAAAAAAACATTAGTAACTTGAAGGGAACGATTTATTCGTGGAGGTCATAAAATAATATGTTCTTAGTGGCACTTGTCTTACTGAGTGCAATCAAGTAGTGAAATCTTGTAGACACGAGACTCCGCCACTGGACTTACTTAAGAGTTTGCTTTTATGACTTTTTAAGTGGCCATTATGATGATAGAGGACTGAACTTAATGTTTGTATGCTGAGACTTGACGCCGTCACGTAAATGTTGATGCTGCGTTCAGACTTAACTTGTTTTACTGTCTACAGTAACTATAATCGATCTATTTTATAATTTATTAGGAAATTAAAAATGTTTGTCTAATAAGTCCCTTGGTCATTTTCTTATTTAAAGCTTATTTTTTAATAAAATTCTATGCAAATGGCGGAATAACTGAGTAAAACTAACATGTCTGGCTAAGTTGAAACCTAGATTTATGTAAAGTTCAGGCTAAACGCTAATGTTGTTAGGCAAGTTAGCTAAAGTAGGAGACGATAAAATTACGGTATATAACGCAATAAGCTCCAAGTAATATGAAATTAAACGGTCTAAAATAACAAAAAAACATTTCTTAAACTTCAAACGTCTTAGGCAACTTTATACTTCCTTCTTTATTGGCCCGTATAAGTTTACTGCTGCTTGGCTTCTTACGTCTGGCGTAATCGAGGTGGTTTATACCATCTATTAAAAAACATGAGATTTTTCTGATATTTCCCTAAATCGCTTCTTTCTACTCCCACGGGAGAAATGGACTGGCCCTTACGCCGGACTACATCGTTTTATACTACCCGTCTATAATTTTTACACTATTTTTACATTATATATATATATATATATATATATATATATATATGTGTGTGTGTGTGTGTGTGTGTGTGTGTGTGTGTGTGTGTGTGTGTCACCTTATAGTAGCTTTAATATAAGAAAGCTATTAGATATTTTATGGATCTCCTACTTACTACATTCAAGTAATTAATAACATTCAAGTAACAAGTTCAGTAAGCATTATAGTGAACGCGCCTCAAATAGGTTAAAATATGAAATATTTCTCAAAGGATGTGGTGTCATCAAATTTTTTTGTCGCCTCAAATCTCTCCTCAAATGTCATTTTGTAATACGATATTCGTTATTATCGTAATGCTAGCTTTTGTTTGTTGTGACTTCCGTGAACTGTTTGTGGCACAGAGAGTTTTACATAGATTTCTCCAATTTGACGCTGAGGAAATTTATCAATTGAAAACAAGAGTTGAATGCTAATTTTTTATTTAAAAATAATGGCCCTGATAATGTCGGTAATAGTACTTGATATAGGGCTAAAACTTTTCCGTATGGTGAAGGTAAAAGGGTTATCATTACAGCCCTTAACGAGTCCACCGCTGAGCATATACCTATAGAGAGTATATATATATATATATATATATATATATATATAGGTCTAGCACGACGTCACTCCATCACTTGGGGGGTAAATCTATGAGGGCCGCAGTACCCTTCGCTCACCGATATGAGGCTACCTTGAACTTCAACTTAGCTGGCCGCGAACATTTAAATCCTTCCAATCCTAAAATCCACAAATTATATATATATATTTTCAATCTAGGTGTTTCATAAATTAATCGTTATCGTTTTTTATCTGTTACTTTTTGTAAAAAATGTTAATTGAGATATGTGTAATTATTGTTGTAGATCCATAGAACTGTGGCTAAAAACGGGCCGTCGTCACAGCGAAGTGCTCGATGAACAGAAACTGAGCGAGGGACAGTTGCGTCGCCCCGGTGCTACGGTAATCCTGTGGTTGAAGTGTGACCAGGTGGGTGGCGCGGTCTTAATCATATGTGTGTCAGTGTGATTTTATTATAACTCATTATTCAAAGTATTAGGGCTCCATAGAACAAAACGCTCAACAAATTAATAAACACAAGCCAAGTGAAGAAAAGTCAGGAAATGGGCAGCAGCATCTTCTTAATAATAAGAAATAACACAAAATATTAAAAAACTGCGGTTGCCAACCCGCGTGCCAAGTGTGGCAACCATGGCAAAATCCCCCATTTGAGGGGAGGCCTATGTAGTGCAGTGGACTTTAATTTATAATTAAACATTTTGTAATCAATAGAATTTGTAATATAAAATATTTTAGACCTAACTTTTTATACGTGGTAGAGCCATGCTGCAGCTATATCAGTAGTATAGTTGTAGCACGAATGGGTCGGTTCGACCGCTTAAGGACCACGCTCTCACAGAATACCAGCGTAAAATAGCAACTTAACGCAGCTGTGTTTCGTATGGTGAGTGTAGAGACCCTTTTTACTGGAAACGGGGCATTCTATCTTAGTCCTCACGGGTGACAACGCATCTGCATTTTGAATAGTAGTTGAGGATGGATGTACGAGTAGATGTAAATGGGTCACAGCAACTAGTTACCATCAGGTGGACTGTGTGCTCGTTTGTCTCTCCTATCCTATAAAAAATAAAATAAAAAAACTGACATCACTGGGAAGCAAGCCGTCATTTATAAGAAAAAAAAATTACCACACCTGTTCAATAATGCCCTAAACTATCGTATTGGTAACCCAGATCACCCCGTTGCTGTGCGGCCGATAGTTTCTTCTACAACAACAAGAAACAGGTACAAAATCCTTAACCATATATAGCGCAGCAGATGCATTTTCCCGCCACCTGCCAATCTCGGCGCGCGCAGGTGACGTTTGTTTACGTTTTTTACAACTCCCGATTTAAGATGGCCGGTGCATTCGACCGCACTTAATTATTTTATCTATGCTCGATTCATTGCGCCTGCTGGTCCCATTTTTATTGTTCTTTTATCTTACCCGTTAACAATAATTAAACGAAGGCACCTTTTAATGGATATAGATAAATGATTTTCTGTTCAAGACATAGATACCTAACTTACCACGTTACATTGGTATGCATTGTTAGTTTATGTTTGAGAGTGAATGTAACATCTGTCACTGCATCTGTAATAGCATTAAGATTACCTTTATGCACCCCTAATTTTATAAATGATTTCAATTAATGTGAACTTGCCGGAAACCTGCATTAATTTACTGTTTGTTATTATATTTTTATATCTACGTTTACCATAGCAATTTATTATAACAGTGCTCTTGCCGCGTCAATCTGTCAATATCTATACTAAGTTACGTCCTGCGATCAGTTTGGCGGCATTTTTGTAACCTCGTAAAAAATTGCTCTAACGTTTCCATTTCATGCTAAATTTTTGGACACTTTTTCATTCATTGTCAGCCTTTTGTTGAGCGTTCAAGATATTTTAATATGATCGTTCGCCAAATATTGTCACTATACCTGACGTTGTTTTTTATACTCATAAAAGTATTACATTCTGATTGTGCTTGGTCAAAAGGAAACGTCGTAAGAGAATGGGGGCATCCACGACTTTTTCAACCACCAGGGCGGCGCCACTTAAAAGTGAGGTATAATATTTGACAGATTTCATAGCGGGGAAGTTAATTTGTTCGGAAAATGTTAAAGTTTATGTTCTTTTCTGTACTATTAGCTATATTTAATATTCATAAGATTAAAACTAATTAAACCAAACCACAGATAATCATAAAAGTAGAAAGATATAAAAAAAGTTAATAATGTGCAAAAAATTAAAGAGCAAACCACTGAGGCATTATTTTGGGTATTAATTAATATAATACTCTAGAAACTGATAAACTTTTATTAAAAACCAACTTCTCAATTAAATGGCATTTCGTAACAAAAAACTTTACCTCAGTGTCAACTAGTGACGTCTGGTGAGTAGAAAAATTATTCGCCCTCATACATTGACTTATTTTGTTCTGTGGGTTATTTGGAATACCAAATATAAAGGGAAACGTTCCAATTGTTAGAGATTTGTCATCGCAGTACACTTTTGCCGGACGCGAAACCCGCGAAATTATGATGTATGTGCTATTTTATAACTAAACATTTATTGAAGAATTTATAGAATTTTAAATAAAAAGTCTTTTTATGGTCATCGTTTATGAACATTCCTTTTTAGAAAGTTGAAAAAGATAACTACGAATCCTGTTTATATTGGAAATTATTAGAAACAAGCCAATTTGTACATATCGCATTAACTATTGTATTATAACTATATAGTGTTAAGCGTAATCTAATTTTGCATTCAGACAGGTGTACTGGGCCAGAAATAACAAGAAAAAATGTATGTTTTTAAATGCTACACGGCCATACTGCTCAATTGGTTAGGTCGAGCAGGTCGGCGGCATTCGCACGCTTTTGTCTGATATCTATTTTTTTTTCAGTTGCCAGTGACTACGAAAAATTGTTTGTTTATAGTTATATATAATATCTTGTTTTATTTTCTTGATAATATTTTATTTATTTTATATGAATACTTGGTATGTCTTCCTGATATGAAGAAAGAGCTCTATGATAGAGAGTAATTAATCGAAATCTATGATTAAAAAAAAACAAACCTTAATACCATTTTTATTGCTTTACTCATCGATAGTGCCAAAAACTATGGCTGTTTACTACTCTTAAATGATACTTAATTTCTGAGCAAAAAAAAACCAGCTCTTTTGTCAGCAACTTAATGTAGTAAATAGTAGTAGCTTTGGATTCCAGTAACACGAAGACAGCCATGACACATTTTCACCATCGCACATCACGGCAAAACTCGCGATATCATCCATACCATCAGGATTATTGGCGGCCCACCACTGTGCGATTTACAAGAGAATTTCTTCCTCGCACATCTTCCTTGTGGAATGAACTACCTACCACCAGCGATTTTTCCAGACCGATACGACTTAGGGACCTTCAAGAAAAGGGCCTACTCCTTTTTAAAAGGCCGGCAACGTATCTGCAATTCCCCTGGCGTTGCAGCTGTTCATGGGAATCGCTAGTCACCTACCATCAGGTGAGCCGCATATTCGTTTGCCCCCTCTCCTATAAAAAAAAAACATCCAGACCCGATGACTATTATATTTTGTTAACAAATTAACAATTAATAATAAATGAAATAGTAAAGTGGTAAAATAAAAAGTGGGCAATGTGTATGTCCACCGCGCTGACTCTAAACGCGTTTCCACCCATTTTCATTACATCCCTTCGCTATTCCATTGCTGAACATAGGCCCCCAAAGAATGCCACAAAGCACGGTCGTGAGCCACCTGCATCTATCGACATCATGTCTTACCTTATCTAGTACTCCATCTAGTAGAGGCGTCCTATTCTTACTTACCGATACTAGGCTCTTATTGAGAACCTCTCTTCACTATCTGTTATCGTTCCTTCGAGCTATACGGCCGGCCTATCGCAACTCCAGCTACCAATTGATTGGGCTATGTTGATTAGCCTAGTTCTACGGCGGATATCTTCATGACAATTGCTATCATGCAAAGAAACTTCCTTCATAGTTCGCTACGCGATCTTAAGCTTGCTCATACGACCTACAATACGTGCGAGAGCCACACGGCAGTTATAATATTAGTTGTAGCACGAATGGGTCGACTCGACCGAGATCCACGACCACGCTCTCACAGAATACAAGCGTAAAATAGCAGCTTAAGGCTGCTGTGTTTCGTTATAGTATGTGAAAAGAGACATTCTATCTTAGTCCTCAGGTGTGACAACGCATCTGTAAAATAATAAAAAAGCTGTGGTTGCCAACCCGCCTGCCAAGCGTAGTTGCCACGATGAAATAACGTTGACAAATGTACGAGTAAAGTTACAGACTATATACGTAACACTGTAGGGCTGTGTATAATCCATGAATGCATGATTACAGTTTCTCTAAGCGCCTAAACAGACAAAGTTAACTTGAAACTTGAGGTTTATATATCAACATCGGAGCACTGTTTTTTATCGTTTACATTAACATACAAAATATAGTGTAATTTTTTACGCATTAAAATCTACTTCAAAATATTCTTCAAACGATAATAAAAAATCAAATCGAATTCGCACATAGTCAAATTCCCGCCAAAAGTTCCCTTTCAATTATGTTACTGTATCAATGTCCATTTTGAGACTATTGCGGTAAATCTTGATATAGCTGGCATTTAGCCATTGATGATTTACGGATCGATAAAGCAAAAAATCGTCTATTGCTGACGATTTTTGTAATTGTGATGTGGCTGGTGCTGTGTAGTGGCGGTGTAAGAATATCCACTACCCCAAACATCCCGTGGGTATCGTAAGAAGCAAGAAAGGGAAATAAATCAGGAGATGGGAAGCAGAGTCTTTCTAATAACGACCAAAAATAAAAAAACTGCAGTTGCCAACCCGCTTGCCAGGCGTGGCAACTGCCCAAGCCATGGAAGGCCTATCTTCGGCAGTGGCTGTAATGGTGGTAATGATGGATGTGGCTAGTGATACTGCTTTTAATGGCTATAATAACCCATCTGGGAACGGCAAGAGCGTTGTACAGATGTGTGCTGCGACTTATAGAGCATTGTCACTATATTTTTATTTGTGATGATATATGACAGGACAGTATATATTAGAGTAAAATAAATCAATAGTTATGTATTATATATATCTCATTAAAAATTACATATTTGTCCTACAATCACTCCTTAATACATACACTGCCGGCCAAAAGTTTAAGAACACACACAACATAATTATCTATAAAGTGTAGCGAAATCCCATAAGATAAATTAAGGAAATGCACACCTGAATATTCTATTGTTAATATCGAATATCTAAAGAAGTCATTCTTTTAATTGCTTTCAAGTTATTGGACAATAAACATGTATTGTTTTCAAACACCGACAAACGCTGCTTAGAGCCAGGTGGTAGAGTCGTAATAAT